CCTATTTTGATGCCCTGCCATCCATTACGTACACTGTTTACAAAAGGAGTGATAATTGATTTAATAGTAGTAATAATGGTTATAAACAAACACCCACCTATTCCTAAAATAACTTAGGTCTGTTGCTGGTAAGTGTTTTGGAAACAAGATTGGAGGAATCTTTCCATAGGGGGCCAACCTCTCATCTAACCATTCAGTAAGAAAAAAATTGTGGCTACTGGATATTACATTGTTTTCAGAGTAGCATACCATTCCAGATTTAACAAATGATTGTTAGTTTGTACATGCAATATGTTTAAATATTCAGTATGCATACATAAAAATTGAAAAATAGAAAGGAGATGACTGTCTGACAGTACATATAAAGCAATTTACTTTTTTTTTCCTTTGTGGGTTATTTCTTACGATGTACTACATAATAACTCAGAATGGAATTATGGAGTGGTTGTTACAAGAGGTTATTGGAAGTTTTATTTGTTGCGAAAAGTAAGTAGTGATTGCATTTTGCACAGTTTAATGGTTTCTGAAATGTGAAGCTGAAGCACTGTTGTATTATTTCTGAAATATTGAACAAAAGACCTACCCATATTATACTGTATATTGATCACTGGGAAACATCTGACTGACATTATTGTAATGTATCTTAGGTAAGGTTTATATTACTGTAATTTCATAGAAACAAGAGATACTGAAAAAATCTTCCTCATACTGGTATAACTACAACATGCTCTTGGTTTTATAAGATTCATCTTTATATTAACTGCTGCTCTTAAGTGTTGAATGTGTTTGAACAGGTTGTTCAAAAGAATTCTTTCTTGGTAAAGGTTGAATGAGAATTTTTTAGACATTATTTATTTATTCACACACACACACACACACACACACACACACACACACACACACACACACACACACACACACACACACACACACACACACACACACACACACACTCACACTCTCTCACTCTCTCACTCTCTCACTCTCTCACTCTCTCACACTCTCACTCTCTCACTCTCTCACTCTCTCACTCTCTCACTCTCTCACTCTCTCACTCTCTCACTCTCTCACGCTCTCACGCTCTCACGCTCTCACGCTCTCACGCTCTCACGCTCTCACACACACACACACACACACACACACACACAGAGTTGAAGATAGAGAAACAATAAAGTATTATTTTATACCAATATAGCCATCTGATGTCATTTCCAAAACAATTTTGTCAGATCATGGTATCAAGTATGATGTCAAGTATTTCTTTTTACTAGATTAATTACTTCATGCCTTTTTATCATCCTCATAAATATTTTTAAAACTAAATAGTGAAAAAAATTCACTGACTAATCCCTTGCATTTTATATACAATTATATACAAATAATTATATTTACTTTCTTTTAAGCTTTTTTTTTTTTTTTTTTTTTTGCCATATAATACGTTAAGTAAATCCTTTCATGCTAGTTTAGTAAGAATAAGGATGTAAAAGTATGATCTTATGGCATCATTCCAGTGAAATGTAAATGCTAACAAAATTATAATATAAAGCAAAAATATTGAAAGATGTTACAAAATTAGAGAATCTTATGAAACCCAGGAAAAAATTAAATAGAAAAGGGAACAAAGATGAATTCTGCACAAAGACATGGTGTATTAATACTGTCGAGGCAGCTTCTTGTATGGAGAACAGCCTTAGAGGTCGTTCACTGGGTTGTGGTCTAAATGTCACGTTATATTTTTGTTACACTTCATTTATGTAATCTGTATATATATGCACTCTGTTTTGTTTTTTGTTTTTTTTTATATATATTTAGAGTGATTGTGAATCCTTGTATCATGAAAATTTCATATTACCATTACAAAGTTTTACTCATAAATGTGTTTTTTCTATCCTAAAATGCTATTATTGTTAGTTAATACTTTAAGCCTTTGGCAATGAAAATTGTTTAAAATCAGTTATGAATATTCTGAACTTGTCAGTGTAAATCATGCAAAATGCTGCTCTCACTCTCTCACTCTCTCACTCTCTCACTCTCTCACTCTCTCTCACTCTCTCACTCTCTCTCACTCTCTCACTCTCTCACTCTCTCACTCTCTCACTCTCTCACTCTCTCACTCTCTCACTCTCTCACTCTCTCACTCTCTCTCACTCTCTCACTCTCTCACTCTCTCACTCTCTCACTCTCTCACTCTCTCACTCTCTCACTCTCTCACTCTCTCACTCTCTCACTCTCTCACTCTCTCACTCTCTCTCACTCTCTCACTCTCTCACTCTCTCACTCTCTCACTCTCTCACTCTCTCACTCTCTCACTCTCTCACTCTCTCACTCTCTCACTCTCTCACTCTCTCACTCTCTCACTCTCTCACTCTCTCACTCTCTCACTCTCTCACTCTCTCACTCTCTCACTCTCTCACTCTCTCACTCTCTCACTCTCTCACTCTCTCACTCTCTCACTCTCTCACTCTCTCACTCTCTCACTCTCTCTCACTCTCTCACTCTCTCACTCTCTCACTCTCTCACTCTCTCACTCTCTCACTCTCTCACTCTCTCACTCTCTCACTCTCTCACTCTCTCACTCTCTCACTCTCTCACTCTCTCACTCTCTCACTCTCTCACTCTCTCACTCTCTCACTCTCTCACTCTCTCACTCTCTCACTCTCTCACTCTCTCACTCTCTCACTCTCTCACTCTCTCACTCTCTCACTCTCTCACTCTCTCACTCTCTCACTCTCTCACTCTCTCACTCTCTCACTCTCTCACTCTCTCACTCTCTCACTCTCTCACTCTCTCACTCTCTCACTCTCTCACTCTCTCACTCTCTCACTCTCTCACTCTCTCACTCTCTCACTCTCTCACTCTCTCACTCTCTCACTCTCTCACTCTCTCTCACTCTCTCTCACTCTCTCTCACTCTCTCACACTCACACTCTCACACTCTCACACACACACACACAGAGTTGAAGATAGAGAAACAATAAAGTATTATTTTATACCAATATAGCCATCGACAGAAAATGCTTTTGTGATGACTAGTTTTTGACTGGAAAAAGGACATCTCTGGGGAATATTTCTTCACCTCTTTGTAGCAGCCAAAGTTTAAACCACAATAAACAGCTTTTGCAGGTTTCCTGAACTTTACCAACAGGCCTCATATTGGCAGAGCCAAGCAAACAATTTTCTTCTAGTTCTGACAAACCATATTAAAAGTTTTTTTGTTTTTCCAAAATGTTAATTTACATTATACAAACATTAACTTTGACGTTTAATACAAGGTCTTTCAATGTGGCCAGGATACCTCAAATTATCAGGTGGTGAAGCATTTTTCCATAAAATTAAATCTCCTCCCGTGTGGAAGCCATTTTTAAATTCCCTGTGCTGTGGCCTAAGCCATGCATGAAAGAAATGTTTTTTTCTCAGTAAATGTTGTCATCCATTAGCCCTCTGTCACCTAGTGTGGGGATCATAAAGACAACTAAGTGGGCAGAGCAAATAGACACCAGGGCTTGCCCAGGCAGCAGCGGGGAAAAAGTACAAACATACTTTGAGAAGACATATAAACACAAGTCGACCACCAAGAGATCCCTGAATGTTAAGAAACTTTCGTCACCACATCACTCTCTCGGCTGCAAGCACTGCACGGGAAAAATAAATGTCCAACACGGTTTGCAGGGGCAACTTGACGGGGACAAAGACAAACATGAGTGACCTTTGAATGACTAACAATTGGCATGAAAATTTCATGCCAATCAGATTAATACAAATGACAAGAGAGGAATTAAATAGAAAAAAAAAACCTTAAGAGCCAGTACCTCAAAAAGTGGATTTTACACTTCAAAAAAATTCACAAAATTGGTAAAAATCTGAACTACTTTTATTAGGTATCATTATAAACTACAACTAAAGGACAATTTTTTCTATTAAGGAAATTTTAGAAAATGTCAACAGAAAATGGGTCACAGAGTGGAGAAGATTAAAGGGGAAAAATTATATACAATTTTTTTTTTTTTTTTTTTTTTTTTTGAAGACAAAACAAAATATAAAAAATTCATAAATACAAAATGTAGATATTTACAGGAAGTCTCTAAGGTATTTTTTTCAAAGCGATTGACTGAAAAGTAAAGTCTGTGAAACAAAAAGTATGAAAACACGTTTTGTTTGAGTTTCACTTACGCTTCACCCAAAATCTTGTGAAATTCACTGAATATAATTTTTCTTGTGGAGACAACGTACTAAGATTTCAAAGCTGTGTGATATACCATATGCTTGTGGCAAACCCAGTAGTCGCCCCTCTTAAGGGGACCGTCCCTCAAAATGGTGGTGGCATGCTAAAAATGGGGGGGTGAAGAGGGGTAAATTTATATCCTATCAATAAAACCCAAATGGTCTTCATGACTTTCTTCAAAATTGGGTATTTTGTTCACTTTAGCAATCTACATCTTTGGTATAAAATTTATGGAAATTCCCTGATACCCCCTCAATAAACTTCATACATAATATGTCACTTGTGTACTGCAATTGGCCCACACTGTTGCATACTTTGCAATGAAAAAAATCAGCATAAACATTAATAAAATCTAGAAATTGATGTGAGTTTTTGCCTTAGTTTCCTAAAAAAAAAAAAAAAAAAGGGGGGAGGGGGACCGAAATTCAAAATAGCTCATGGCAATCTCTTTGGGCATTATCTCCTCAATAGCTGTGCCTGGGGTTGAACAAGCAAATAACTATTTAGAGCAGGCTCAGCTGTGGGATGGATATTTGCTACCTGGCATTTGGACCCAGTTTGCCACAATGTAAGAAAATGATACCTGGTATGAAAGGGATAAGGACCTTAGCTTTATTTGCTTGTGAACTTACAAAGTTTTCACCTGCTATGTATTGGTTGATAGCTTCGTTAGATTTTAATCTTTTGCATACAGTGACGTCTATATAGCATTTCCTTTTGCAACATTCTCCAAAATCATTGTTAAGTATTTACACTAGGAATATGAAAAACAGTTTCAA